TGTGACACAGTGTATTTATATATTTCTGGTATTTAGGAAATGATTACTCTTTTTATTTATTCTAGGACCTATATCGTAATTTTATGACAAATTTGTAGAATATTTTGACTTGGAGGATAATGCGTACACCTTTGAGTATTAAAATTGTAGGTAAAAATAATCCTCGTATTGTTATATGTGATATAGCCAAAGACGCCATATACCTAACATGTAAGGAATTGTAGTCTCAACATTTCAAACAAATTGAAGGGGGGATGTATCCCCTCTATTTAATTTACTTTGCGATTTAGGCTTTCAAAATGCTTATACACATAACTTTCACAATCTAAGCGATTTTTCATGTAATTATTACTATTTATTTATTTATTTTTTAATGTATTTTTTATAATCTGGAACCTAATTTTTTTAAATTCTCAAGGACTTAAAATCTTGGATTCCGATCGTAAATTTATTTTTTCGCTTGAGTGTCAATAAATGATTTTCTTTAATTTTGCTAAGCATAGTCGTGAACAATTACGCGCCATTCTCAGTACTGAAGTCATCATTCTTGTCAAACAGTGCAGTAGTTTTAAATGTTGTTGGCATCAAGAAAAAATTTTCATTATTTTCAAATTAATTATATTATTAAAGAAATTGATTTTGCTGAAAACTTTATAAAATTAGCGTCTAATATACTTACTTGGGCTCTTTGTGCTTAAATTTTAGATTTTATTTGCCCACCCCAACCCTTCTGAAAACTTAAAGTAAATATATTTCATTTCCAATATTAGTTGTTTAGTTTTCGTTGTGTCGTCTTTATCTTCATGTTAGAACAATTTACTTTCTGTAATACACTAAACCATTATCTGTCAATTCAATTCGATGTACACGCATTCACTTGCTGTGTAGGCAAGACTTTGATTTCACACTGAACATGTCTGTTGTCGGTATATGTTTTGCCGTTAGACAGCTTTCTGACAGCTCGTAGTCACAATATGACACTAGATGACTTTCAGAAATGCATTTGACACCAAATGTTTAAAAATGTCCACAAAAATTGTCTGCTTGGATGGATTCAATGTGTTTTCGCAACTCGATGGCACTTTGTGTTTCAAAATGTGGATCATTTCAAAGTTTTTTTTTTTTGTTTTTGGGAAATACAGCTACTTTGCAGGTTATTTTAAAAATATAGTGGCGATTTAAGTGTGGCAGCTATATTTGTTGGACACTGGTGCGTATGAATAATGACATTATGTATACGTACATTTTTATACCCTCAGCCACATGGCTAGAAAATTTATATTACATTTGATTCGGCCAAAACGTGCCTCATCGAAAAAACGGTTTTAGACCCTAGGTCTCTTTGGACCAAATCCGTTTCAGGACATTTGGAATCGATCTAGCGATGTCTGTCAGTCCGTCTGTCTGGCTGGTGTACACTATAACTCACGAATGGAGTATCTGATCTAGTCCAAACTTGATACATCGTAATATTATTTTAAAACTTAGATCAAGTTCGGATATGGGTAATATCGGTCCATTCCTTCAGGCACCTCTCACAAAATAGCTCGATTTTATAAAAAAAAAAAAAAATACTGCACACAAAGAGAAAGCATAATCCGATTTTGCTCCACATTTTCAACTTATATTTGCATCAGTGCTAGGTCTGGTGCGAAAATGGTCAATATTGGCTCACTCTATTATAACTCTGATAAAATGTGATGTAATAATATGATTATCTTCAAATTACACACATCACAATATTTTTATTAACACAAGGACTGATGTCAAGATGGAATATATCGGTCCACTTCTTCTGGTACATCCCCCGCAAAGGGTAAAAATTGTCAATATCCATGAGGCTCATAAAACGCAAAACTACCATCCGATTCTATTCAGACTTGGTACATGTCAATATTTTCACCAGCACAAGATATGTTATAAAGATGGTAGAGATCGGACCATTCCTTCTGGTACCTACCCCAGAAAGGATCAAAGTTTTGAATAATCAAAACGATAATACAATTCAAAATAAGCATCCGGTCTCTTCATATTTCCCACATCCCACTATTTTTACTTAAAAAAACCGCTGTGAAGATTGGTACGGGATGGGATCGGTACACTCCTTCTGGTACCTCCCGCACAAAGGCTCTAAATTTTGAATATCCATTAAGTTCATAAAACGCGAAATTAACATCTGATTCCACTCAGGCTTGACACATCTCAATGTTTCCATCAACACAAGATCTGTTATAAAGATGGTAGAGATCGGACGATTCCTTCTGGTACCACCCCCACATAGGGTTCAAGATTTTGAAAAACAAAACATTCAAAGAAAGCGATATAAGCATCCAAATTAATTATTTGGTGACACTCCAGGGTCCTGCCCACAATAAAAGTGGTATGTAAAGGTACAGGGTGTGATGAAAAAAACCGCAACAAAGTCAAACGCCATCATTTTTACATTTTTTTTAATTTCGTTAAATGAAAGCAAAAAATGTCGGAAATACCATCAAATTTTAGAATAACTCCAGATTTGCTCGAATTGGTCACCTTTGGCACGAATTATGCCCTTCAAACGGCCAATTAAACCGTAACACTCTGCTCGAATATTGCTCTGCGGTATTTTGGCCCATTTCCGGCGAAGCGCTTTTTTGAGGTGATCGACACTTTGATATTTTTAGTGTCAACCTTGTTTTCCAAAATAGACACAATAGTCCAAGGGATTGGTATCCGGAGATTTTGGTGGCCATTATGCGCTGGAAATGAGGCTTAGAATCTTATTTTGTAACCATTCTTGGATGACGAGTGCTGAGTGCGATAGTGCTGAGTCCTGTTGGAATGTCCAAGGTCTGCGGCCAAAATGTTTGCGTGCCCAAGGCTTTAATACATCCTCCAGAATATTTTGGCGATAATATTCGGCATTTATTCTGATATCACGGTCAATTATTACGATCAGAGAGCGACCATCGTCTGTTATGTCAGCCCACACCATCACCATGGCCGGCGCATGAGTTCTGGTGGCCAACCGAAGCTGCACATTTTCAACTGATCTCTTTGCCAAATAATCACGATTATTATTTTTTTCTATCTATCTGACACCTCTCGCATATTTTCACATTTTCTAAATATTTGCACATATTTTATATAAAGAATAGGAAATAGTCGATATAACCCAAAGCTGGCCCGTTGTCATATTTTTAGCAGTCTTAGGTCAGATACGAATTGTTTAATTTTGTCCAAGTGCTTCCGAACCTCTCCCATAAATCGTTTGAACAGTTTGAATAATCATAACTCAAGGCTAGGGGTATACATCTGTCGGAAAAACCGACTGATACTATTTTACTTGTTTTTATCATCTATATATATAAATGTAAGTTGTGTTAGTTACTACGCTTATAACTCAAGATCCGCTGATCCGATTTTAACGATTCATACAAATTCGGAATTGTCTCTTTTCCGAAAAGGATAATATTCAAAAAAATCGCGTAAAATGTGATATATTAACATTTTCATTTTGACTTTTGAAATGTACAATAGTAATGTTTTATTTTGCATGATTTTTTTTTTCCATTTTGACTTACTTTTTTCTAATGTACATTTGTAGTGTTTTTTTATATTTTTTTTTAATTCGAATATTAATACCAATTTATTTAATTGACTTGATTTCTTGAGAACTGAAATTGATGGCGGGTTGCATGGAAGTCAGTCAAATGATATCGAAATAACTTAACGCGGTTAGACCAATGTTAAAAGATAATTACTTTTCAAAATCGCTAAAAAACACGATAAAAGAGATCTCATGGCAAAATTCTCAAATCGGGAAAAATCGAAAAAAAAAATTCAATGGAAATTGACTAGATATGGAAATAATCCATCCAATGAGAACTTAAAATGCAAAATTCATTGGGACTGCAACCAGTGAAATACCGAATATGAAGAGCACTGTTATATGCGAACTATATAAAATAGTGGAGCAAATTGAAAATTTGGAAAGAAAAGGATACATTTCCTCGGAAAATTCTTCCGAAACCTTAAAAGTAACCTTAACTCCCATGAAACGTTATACGGTGACTATGCGCTATCATCAGTAGTCAGTTTGGTTGGTACATAACAATCCCAAAAAGGGGGGATCAAACGTTTTTAGGGTCCATTTTATAT